ACACTGGTCATACTTCACTGATGCCTGGACAAAATATCTCTCACTTCGTGGAATTCTCCAAGGTAATGGTGACCCTGTTTTTCCAGAGCCCTTTCACATTAAGGAACGGGATGTCTTTTACAAATCAGTCAGTTTTAGTGGGTGGGGCGGATCCAGCGGCCACGATGCACCTATGATTGCTTACGACGCTCTTCTTGGTGCCGGAGCATCATGGAAGGAGCTTTGTAGCCGAGCCATGTTTCACAGTGGTGACAGTGACAGCACAGGAGTGATCGCGGCGGCTTGGTGGGGAGCCTTGTACGGCATGGATAGTGTACCCAAGGGCAACTACCAGAATTTGGAGTACAGAGAAAGAATTGAAAATGTAGCTGCTAAGCTGTTTGCAAAAGCTTAAGATCTTCAATAGATTAGTGGCCAGCAATTACGATCATAGTTATGTGGAGAATGACAGCGACTTTGACGAAAAGACGTCGATGACGAGACGAAGATTAGAGCCGAGAACACAACGATGATGATGACGATACGACGATTATAACGAAGACGACAAGATGAAAGCGACAAAAAAAGTTGGCGAGGTCGACAACGAGGTAGAAGATTATATTCAAGACGACCGTTATGGCGATGTTAGTAAAAATAACAAAACAATTATTTCTTTGGATATCACAACGTGCTGCAAACATCGCGAGAAAAATCTTAATATTTTATTTATAGACTGATGCACACTCAACGAGAAGCCATCTCACAGAATTTCAACACTCAATAAAATCGTAGTGGTTAGGGATAAGTTATGTAACAATACTAAGCCATATTAAGTTATATAAAGATACTAAACATATTAGATTTAGCTCTTAAACATTCAGTATTACGCTTTATCGATTGGGCTAATATTGTAAGTCAATTAAACTGCCTTGTTTTTAGCGAGCACCTGAAATATTGCGGACATTCGGTTTGTTTCAAGCCGAAATAATAGTCTCTACATATTATTTACCGCGGAGCCATATCAGATTTTTCCCTACTTTATATAATGCCGTTAAATTTATTAGTTTAAACAAAGTGAATACGAAATAACTTCCACAGTTACACTCATTTATTCTCGATTTGAGTAACATCTTTCGAATGAAAGGAAGAGAATAAGAGAAAGAACTGAACGACAACAGGGCCAGATAGAACCATAGAGAAAGGTTCTCGAAATGTTGACAGTCCCTGTTTTGTCAGAAATGTAAGCAGTGATATGCCTGATATAACTTTGATAGTGGCTCACGATAGTGCGAAACTCGGCCTCTTGAATAAGCAAATTCATATTGCATCAATCCTCCTCCTTGTTAAGTGTCGCAGCACAGTGCTGCCTGACAATTGTGTTTTGGTTGTCAGTTAAGTTAAACGCCACCCCTTTATGAATTTTTAAAGCAGGTGTGTTATCGATGTCACTGACAATAACTGTAGAGTGAGTTTGAACTTTCTTTTCTATTTTGCGGTTTTTTTTTTAACAGCTAAAAAGTTAAATGAAAAAGCTTCGAAAAAAACAGCAAGTGGTTAATTTTAAGTGTTACGAAAGAAGGCGCCCTCCCTCTCTGTTTGCAGAGCTAAGTCCCCTTCCCCCTAGAAAAAAAGTCAAAACAAACAAAAACAGGAAAGTAAAATAGTACAGTACAAATCGCAAAACTGGGCTTGTCACGATCACGGGAGAATCAGCGGACATAATTTCAGGGCAAGGTAACACTATTCTTTCCGGCCGCGGTAACGGTCCTGATAAGTGCCCATGAATGAATAAATAAATTGAGACAATAGTGAACTTAGAGTTGGACCAACATTTGAACATCAAAACAGAATATTTAATTAGTCCAGTATACTCTTGAACTTAGAAACAACAAATAATTAAATGTAAGCAAAAGCCATTGCGAAGAATGCATAGACATTATTTGTTGTTCATGAGCACTGAAGCGGGAAATTAGAGATCAGTAATCAGGCAATTGCAGCCCCATCGAGGATTAACCCACGGTGAAAGGGCTGGACAGGAGCCTCTAGTACTAGAATGCTATCAGCAAATAGCCAAAACGCTAGTAAAAATACTTATAGCGGCACAGCGTTCAGAAAACGATCGTGATGGTAAGATGTTAACAAAAAGAAATTAGGAAACTGCGGTGAACTCGGTGGAATTAATTTGTGGCGAAATTTCACTTAAGAAAAACCGGACTTTCGTTGAAAGCAATATTTTGTACGCAGTTCCAATTAAATCAATATTAAAAAAAAATGTCCAGATGGGCAGGCAGGTATCCCTGTTTTCTGAATGAAATTTCATTTTCATAATTCCAGTTATTTGTCCCAGCTGTTTAAAAAAGAAGCCACTGTTAGTGTTTAAGAGGGTTTGCCAACGGTGATATTGAATGGCACCTACTAGAATGCCCCTGATCAAAGATTGGAATCGCAAATTAAAATATCAATCTCTTAGTACATGATGAAATAAAATACGCGATAAAATATCAGGAAAAAATGTTAAGAATTCTCGTAGATCGTGCTACATTTCGCGACCGAGCACCAACATATTTTGGCGGCGTGAAACAACTGGCGGAAATCCGTTTTTAGAGACGTGATGAATTTTAATCGTGTATATGGTTCTATAAAATGACAATCGAGAGATTTTTCCCCAGAGAAACGAATGAAGGCTGAGTTCAGAGCCTCGATGTCTTAGCAGGAACATGAATGAATAGCGCTTCAAGAACGTTTTAAAATTTTTTAGCTGGAGAAAATGAAAGAAAGCCATCAAGGCGAGGTACCCTCTAACGTCGCATCGTATGCTGCAATTCCGCCATTTGACTTTTGCATCTCAATTCTTGGCAGTGGAGGTGTTGGCAAAACAGCGTTGTTGAGATCGTTTTTCGATCAACCTTTTGAAGAAAAACACATTCCGACCGTCGATGATTATTATGTACACTCTCTGTCGATGGACGGGAAGCACTTTACACTTTGTATCGTGGACACTGCAGGTTCGTACTCCTTTCCTGTAATGAGGAGCTTGGCTTTAAATTCAAGCCACGCATATATCGTCGTTTACGCCGTGGACGACGTAGTGTCGTTTGAAGAAGCTGTGAAAACCATGGAAGAAATATCTGCGCTAAGAGGTAACAGTGAAAACGTTGTGCCTGTTATTCTGGTTGGCAACAAGTTGGATACGGATGTTACCGAGCGCGAAGTGACCGCACGTGAAGGGTACGAAGCTGTTTCAGTGATGTCTCTCCTTGAAGGAGAATACATCGAGGCGTCGGCAAAGATAGATTTCAGAGTGGACAAAATCTTCTCGAATATGCTTGAGGCATTGATCTATAAAGGCAGAAAAAGGAGGCGGAAAAAGTTTGCAAAGAGAAGGTTGAGAGTGAGACGCGGCAAGAAGCAGAAATTTAAGGAACCACACCGCACCTGTAACATCATGTAAGTACGTTGTTATCTCTTCTGAAGGAAATATTTAATTGTTTACAAAGGTTTGCAAAACAAATCCTTTGTCATCCAATATAAATTACAAAGCGATTTAAAGATATATGATTTATTTATGAACGAGTAATTTAAAGCGTATTTATATTTCAATTCTCTGGTTTCCTGGAAGACATTAAAATGACCAAAGAGAGTCAAAATCTGTTTGATATTTATAACTATTCTCTTCATGCTAAGCTAATTTATTGTAAATTTTAGGTGTCCCGCACACGCACACGAGAATTGGAAAGGTGGGGTGGAGCGGGGTGGGGGGGGTGGAATCTAGAGACCCTACTACTTATATGAGAGGGATTAAAACACAAACCCGTTTGTCGAAACACAGACCCGTCTTTACCGGAAGACTATCTTGTACAGAAGACATTATTCGCATGCTTTTAAATGAATGATCAATATGAAGATTTATTTTAATCTAATATTCTTAGAGTTTCAAATTCTTCTAAAAAGAATCTTTCGTCAATTTTTAGAAGGTTTTAAAAAGATTAAAGCAAACGTATAATTTTTAAATGATCTTAAATCGACCTTATTTATGTATATACGCCTTCACTTTTACTTGAAAGACAATTTTCTGCTCGGGGACTGCGCGACACTTTTCTTTAATTGTACGTCCTTGGGTAAAATTGTTTTTTATTATAGTGTTGCATTATCATTGTAAATATGTATTGTAGTTAAGATATACCGCTCAAATGCAAGTAAATACCTAGTGCTATTCTGCTATCTCAAAATCTTCAAATAAAAGTATTTTCATCATCATCATTGCTCGTTGCTGGCACCTTCTCCTCAGTATCCGTCTTCTGAAAAGTATTTTAGCGATCCTTTTATCGGTCATTGGATTTCGTGTGCGCAGTTGCTTTGGAAGAACCTTAACATCAGTTTACTTTAGCATTTACTAATGCTGTCACTATACTTCAACATCCTGTTTCTCAGTAAAGCCATATTTAGAATTCCATCGAGCTCATAGTTAAGTTTCAAAGGATGAATGAACGCCAAGTTCTCGTCGTACGATTTCCAGAAGTGCTCAGCCTTTCTAACCAAGGGTTCCCCCGCTTTTCCAGGCAGGTAAATCCCAGGGATAAACTTAAAATTCTCCACCTTGTCAAGCATACGACACATGGTAGGAACTGCAATTTCTAAGAATGAACGGTGCTTGTAGAAAATATAGGAGAGTGTTTGAAACGCTTCCGAAAATTTACCGGGTATGTAAAATATGTCTGAGCGACCGCGGTAGCAGTTTAACGTTCCATTTCCATTCTGTTTCAAAAGTTCTATCGACCCCTCCATGTCCCATATCGGGCTCCAGGGAGGAGCATTTGCATTCAGTGCGTCGTTGTGATTATCATCAATCATAGTTGGCAACCATTCATTTTTCAAGGACTTGCCCAAACCCCGGATTTCATCATAAGATTTTTGACAGGTTTTCATTCCCCATGTGGAATTCCACCAATACCAATTTGCAGGCTGAGTGTAGTTAAAAAGTAGTATCGTTCCCTTCGGCCCTTCCCAGATTTTGTCCCGGTCCATACCAACGAAGTTCCAATAGTTCAATAAAACGTCATCGTTGATAAGTAAATATCCTGTATACCCCGGATGTTTCTCCATGGCACGTGACATGCACGTGTAGGAGAAGTATCCTTTGTTAATGTACAAAGCCTCCACAGTGTAGTCCTTAGTCTTTCGCGGTCCGCAAAACATTATCGTGGGAAATGCATGCTTGTATAAGGCAGTGAGCGCTGGAATACTTGAGTAGAAAGGATAGTTGTAAACAATTACCAACACGATGTCTGAAAATGCATCTCTGAGGCAGGCCGATTTTGAGTCAATGAGCACTGCAGAATTTCTCAAAATGGAAAGTAAGCCTGTGAATTTAAAGATACATGTGAAAACCTCGGAAGTTAAACGCCGTTTGCTCTATTTTAATTTTTTTTCCAAAAGAAGCACGAGTGATATTGTAGATAACGGACCACCTCTCTCGTGGATGTTATGAGGGGAAGTACCTGCCTATCGAGCAAATAGGGCTACTCTCCCCCACCCCCAATGCATATCAGTGGTTCATGTGGTCAGAAGTCGAACTATTTAATTTATTCATGTATTTATTTGTGTGCAAGAGCTACGGAGGAATGGTTACCAAATACGTCCATACAGACGTGCCTAAAATCCGGTAAATCGAAATATCAAAGAGCAATGAAAATAAACAAAATGAAATATTTGGAATTCTTTCGACACCCGTGAAATCGTGAAGTTTGACTAAAGAGGTGTTTCTTGCTTTTATGCTGCACTTCTCTTGGTTGATTATGCAAAGGTTGTGGTTGTTGCTTTGCTTTTTGTAGGTGAAGAGTGTTTTGGAGGCAAGGGAAGAAAGTTTTTAGAGACAGGTCGCGCCTCCCTGGGATACCCATGCGTTTGGAAAATCTTGGAGAGATTAGTGTGGAGTAGGAATTGTCGATTTACTGTATTTATTCTGTTCATGGGACACTTGAACAATCTCTTATCTCATTCTCCTGTATTGGGGATCACAAGAGCCAATCTGCACGCTAAGTTACCAAGCCTTTGGACAGGTGTGAGGATGAGGGTGATCTTAACGTAATTTTAACGAAAAAATAGGTTGAATTACCATGTATTATTCAAATGTGAGAAGCAGCAAAGGTTTATCGATCGATGAAAAGCGTCTGAAATATCACCTTGAACTTCAATCTTATTTGGAGACTTGGGAACTATGCTCGGATCATAACAACTTAACAACAGTCGTTCACAGGTCTTTTTCAGTCCAAACTCGTTCCCAGAACCCCCTTTCCACAATTCAAAGGATAACAGCCTGGTGATGAAAAGTTTCTTCGTACATTCAGTCTTGAAGGGTGTTACTAAAATATGAAATTTTGGTAAAGTAGAAACGTCCCGTGATCAAAACCTTAGTGAAAAGTTATTTCACCTACCGTAAACGATGCCACCCAAGAACGATACCATGAGAACAACCACCAGGTTTCGCTGTGCTCGAAGAATTTTGCCGCGAAACGTTTGAGACGGCATAGCTCAGGTTTCCCAGTTCCATTTTCAAAGCTGAGTGAGTGGAACTTCAAAGTTTAAATCACCTCACATGTTAGTGAGGAAGGCGTGTTCGACAGCCATCTATGAAGGGTTTTTTTTAACGAATATTGCCCTATTGTCCGTTTGTAACCTGTTATTTGCAACAGGTATTGACTAGGTATTTAAATATTCTAAAGCATTTCAGTTAGGAGCTGTTTATTACCTTCGTTGTAACTTTTAACAATAATCCAAGGCGAGCAGGAATTTTGTCAACATTTATTCAATGGTATTTGTGCGTTCCCCTAAAAGCGTAAATGAATTGTTCGTAAACGCAATAGCATGTTAGTTAGCTTTCTACAACCCATGATTTTGATCAGCTCCATCAGAGGTGCCAACAACTTTCACGATTAGACATCTCAAGAAGTCCTATATATGCTCCCGTGATTGGCTGAAACTCAATCTGACCTGTCAATTAATTTTTCCACAGTCTTGACGCGGCAATTTTTTGTTTCCAAACTCTGAGAAAATGGGTAGGCGAAAAAAAAAAGAGAGCTCTCACGGAAATGAATAGAAATTGGGCTAGACTCCAAGCGCAAAACTTGATTCTTCGCTGTAATTTCTTTAATTTATGACAATTAGTCCAAATCGATTACCACAGATTCAAACGAATCCCTGAGATCGAGAGTCACTGGTATCTAGAGTAGTTCACTCTAGAGGGGGGTACACGTAATTCATCGTTCTCCCTACACGTGGTTAAATGCTTTGCGGCCGCCCTCTTTCTTCCTTTTGATCGCCATTTTTTCTTCAGCAAGATGCCGAAGAACGTGTGTAGTAAAACCTACACAACTCCAAGGCGTCCCTTCGAGAGAGAGCGTCTGAATCAAGAATTAAAAATTATTGGAGACTATGGGCTTCGTAACAAACGTGAGGTATGGCGTGTGAAGTTCACTTTGGCGAAGATCCGAAAGGCTGCGCGAGAACTTCTTACATTGGAGGAGAAAGATCAGAGAAGGTTGTTCGAAGGTAATGCTCTTTTGCGTCGTCTCGTACGAATTGGCGTGCTCGATGAGACCCGAATGAAGCTCGATTACGTGTTGGGTCTGCGAATCGAAGATTTCTTGGAGAGGCGTCTTCAAACTCAAGTATTTAAGCTTGGTTTGGCGAAGAGTATTCATCACGCTCGTGTGTTGATCCGACAGAGACACATACGGTAAGCTGTAAAGAAATTTAATTTTCTTCGTGACTACGCAGTGATTCGATGTTTTGTGTGTTTTTACCCATTGTATATCTAGTTGCATGAGGTAATGGTTGATTGATCGTTGTAACTTTCGAGCTTTTTCAACGAACTGCAATTCGATCGTACGCCATTGAAAACTGTTCTGTACTAAAGAGTTGAAGATTTTTTCAGTTCACACGAGGAGTTCTTGGTACTGTATGAACTTTAGACGAGTTCCTTAGTGATAAGTAATTGGGAACTGTGTTATGCACCGTTTTTCTTGGGTTATCGTTCACATTTTGTCGACACTATATCGACACGTACACTGACACTGCCGTAAGCACTTTGATTCACTCTGCTCTAACTCAAATTGTGTTGGAGCAGAGTAAATAGTGCGATTCTTACTCTTTGCTTCATGGTCTATAAGCATCTGTGGCTAAATAGGCTCTTTGGACTTCTTCATGCCAGTATAAGAAGTTAAAAGAGCAATGTATGCCAACGTGTTCGAGCAGAGTAAATAGTGAGAGTCTTACTCTTTGCTTCATGACCTATGTGCATCTGTGATTAAATAGTCTCGTTGAACTTCTTCATACCAGTACAACAATTTAATTAAAAGAGCAATTGTATGTCAATGTGTTCAATTTTTCCAGTTTATACAAGTTGCAACAATTCATTGAGAACTTTATTTTGGAGCTGAAATTGGAAATTTTTGTCTGGCTTAGGTCATGTATTGCCAACACTTATCAACTTAGGGCATGAAATTAATTTTTTTTTCTGATAGCCACTTGGCTCCTAAATTTTTCAAAGTGGTAGCCAATTCAAAAAAAAAAGGTGGTCGCCATTTTTAAAGACAAACAAAACCTTTTTTTTTTGCTGTCAGCATTCTAGATAAACCCTCCAAAATTAAGTTAGGAAAAAGATCTTTTATGTGCCACAAAGTGGACACTAGGATGGATGATTTACAACCATCAAGTTCACCTAAATACAAGATGGCATCTAGTCATCAATCGAGATGCATATGCTGCGTTTAGGAAACAAACTTAACAAGGAAGTTTGCTGTGGATTTACCTTTCCAAATCTTTTTAACTTGCTATATCTTTGGGTAAGGTTATGATGAAGCATTCTAGTCCCCAATTTGGTGACTAATTTTCAGGATTTGATCCCAAAAGAGAAAAATTTAGTCACATTGGCACCTGTATTAGGCACAATTTTACGCCCTGCAAATGGTTGAAAAAAAAAACAATTGCAGATAGTACTGAAGTGTTTTACAAGATTAATATGATAAAACACTAACAATACTTTAAATTACTTGTTTTTCTGTTACACAATATGAACAAGGTATTTGTAACTAGCAACTAACCATGGAAAATGAAGAGGATTTTGACTTAACCTTTAAACCCCTACTAGTGATTAGCATCTAATTTCTCCTCCCAATATCACCCTTGAATCAAACATTATGGTCATGAGAAAAGAGGAAATGATCACCAACTAAGATAGCTTTTGATTATTGAACAATTTCTCTTTGTCAGCACGGTGGGAGATGTGTAGCGATATAGAGAATATGGATACTGATGTTAGGGGGGAAAGGGTTAAGTTAACTAAGTTGTATGGAACACTGTCAGATTGAGTTGTGTAAAACCAAAACTGAAGTTTGAAAAATTAAAATAAAAACAAGCAAACTGCTACAGGATATGTGAATGACCAAGTCACAATTGGGTTTAGTTTTGAATCTGATTGTTTGAGAAATTGGGGCAAGTTTCCTGAAACAGTCATATAGTGATGGAGACCAAAGAAATCCTGGACTTCTCTCCACACTTGTTTTGAAATGGCTTTAGTTGGGCACCATTCAAATGAGTGTGGTTAGACAAACATCAGAGTAATTGCAGTGGTCAGCAACATGTTGAAAATCTTTCATTAGTTTCATCTGAAAATGTAATTTGTACTAGTACATAAGAAAATGAAAAAGGAAGAATGTCCCAAGCTCTTGGATTAAATTGATGAAGTTGAGATTTTTTTTCCTTCTCTCCAGTGTGCGCAAACAGCTTGTCAATGTCCCATCATACATTGTGCGTCTGGACTCTCAAAAGCACATTGATTTCTCACTGAATTCGCCATATGGTGGAGGGCGCCCAGGACGTGTGAAGAGAAGGAACATGAGGAAAGGGCAAGGTGGTGGCTCTGATGCTGAGGAAGAGGATGAAGATTAGGTGAGATCAATACATCTGTACACCAAGGGCTATTACAGGGTAGTCAACACTAATTCAGGATTTATAGTTTAACCTTGCTTGGATTTCTTGCTGAAATACATATAATGAATAATGTTGTAATGTGTGCATTTTTTTTTGTGAGGCAAATGAAGGAAACATATTGTATGCAATAAACTCATCCTAAAGTTTTATTTTGATTTTTAAGTGTTTCTGATCTCGATTCTAAAAACTATAAAAAGTAAGAAAGACTTGCAGCAAAGGATGTATTTTTTTTGTCCATTAACAAGACTGGATATTCATTATCAAGACATCATTAAGTATTCAAGTGTTTACTTCAGTGACATACAATTTTATTACACAATTAAGTTACACTGATATTTAGAAAATATTTGGCAGAGTTTCTAGACAAACTTGGACAGATTTCTGTAGGAAACCTATGTATAAAGTAGTCTTAAACAACTTAAAACTAACTTGAATTAAGCAAAGTATTTAGTAATTGGTTTTGATCTGTGTGTATATTGGCAATTCAAAACAGTCAATTGAACCCTATTTCAGGGTCGTAAGCTTTTAAACTGTATGTTTGTCTTGTTCAATCCATGTTACCTGTATGATTGCTGTACATGATTGTTTCCCTTCCAAGTGAAGGTTACATTTAAAAGATATCACTATATTTATTTTCTTCTTTTACTTTTGTTTTCCATGTCTTTTCCTGATGTGATGACTCACAGACAGAAGACCAAATGAACCTCCTCTTAAAAATGTAATAGTGCTGCTAAATAAAACAGCTTATTCTGTGAATGAGTGTGATTATTTTCTCCCCTCTGTCAGATTGACTGCTTTCTAGGATTTCAACTTGTGCTCAGAACTAAAGAATCTGGGGCTTCTCTGAGCTTTGTAACCAGCCATTGTTTTAAAAAGCATTCAGCTGGATGACTGTGGTCTATCTAGTGCATTGTGAGACTTTCACATTTCTCTGCACCAAACCAAAAGAGTTGCTGAGTGCTTGCTTTTAGTGTGTCTCTTCCTAAATCAATATGTCATCTCAACCCAGTCACAAAATGATGTCTCGGTGCTTGTAAAAATAAAGACCAAATTGGTTCACCAAGATCTTATTAATATTTGAACAGTGTTTCATCTTCATGCATCAACATTTCTTCGCAAACTGTTGAGCATAGTTCTTCCTCCATACTAACAGTTCAAATCAACTTTTGTTACCATAACTCCTTGTTAAACACTCTTTATCTGTTTCACTCTTAAAATTTTGTAAGCAATTCTCCTTTCTGTTGCAATTCTTATGATATCAGTTTGGAGAATTTTTGGTATTGAATCAACATCTTGATTTTCCTTTATTTTCACCACTGTTCTTCTTGATACTGCTAGGAGAAAATCTGTCTTGGTTACTCAAGAGGTTAACGGGTGTAACAAACACGAAAAAATCAATTCCGTTATCCTAATCACAGTTTGAAATCACAAATGGCATCAAACTGGGATGAGAACAAGAAAATGGCTGATATTTCAACCCTTGCACTTCCAGGTTCTGATATCGGTACACTGAATTCTTCTGCCATATTACTTAAAATTTAAACTGAGGGTCTATGCGTCGGTCAATTCAAAGCTTCAACAGCCCACGCCCCACGGGCATTTGAATCTTTGAAGATTGGTTTGTTTAAATTCCAGACCCCGAGCAAAATCTGCGTTCAAATGCCCCACTCTAGCACAATTTTTATTGAACTATTATTTGTGTGATAAACGAACGTTTCTGAATATAGGAAATTTTTTAGGTGCAGCTAGCTGGTTTTTCGCTCTTAGGCGTTATTCCACGGTGTGAAATTTTCTAAGCCATTTGCTCACGAAAGCGGACTCCTTACGTGTTCCGCTGGTTCACCTTTACCACACCACCCAGGCAAGGTCCAAATTCTCAACCCCCACGGACAACAGTCCAATGCCCGTGTGTTGGGGATGTTGAAGCTTCGAATTGGTTGGCGCGTCAGTGTTGCATCAAATTTTATCTTTCTGTCACTAGTTCCCCTTCTCGTCCAGTCTTTTAAAATAGGGAGAATTTCTTTCATGGTAGCTCCCAGAAGTGGAAAGGTATAAGCAATTTGATTTGTGTAAGTTCAATAATTTGATAACGAAGTGTGTTTCCCTA